CGCGAATTACTCAAACAATATAATAAAATCGTATGAAGTGTCCCACTAATCAAGCAAAGTATGAGGTACCAAAAATGATAAAGGCATTTATTGAAGCTTCTGACGTCGCAACAAAATTGAGCGTTTGCAAATTCCCCAATACAAGTTGACATCTCGAAGTCGTATGAGAAACACCATGCTGTAGAGCCAGTGCTCTCAACTTCTTTACCTTCTTCAGGAAAGAACGGATTTTGCTTCTGCTCTCAACTTGGAATAGAATGACTTTTTCGTAGTAACAGCAGCTGTTGGGTTGTGGTGTTCATAGCAACCGAGTTATTTTTCGACTTCGACAATCATTCCCACCTGCAGACAAGGCGAACGATCAACATTCATGAAGGTCGAGGTATTTCAGAAAGTGGCAAACAAAAGCAGCCAAACGAATGTTTCACAAATCAGCCATGTTTCCATTTCAAAAAAAAAGAAGAATATTGGTTTTGAACACTAATTCCTTCAATTGGAGATTGACTAAGGAATAGGATATTTCCGTAATTTTAAACTTCCAAATGATAATTACCTGATACTTGAACGGCCCGTCCTCACTTGTTGTGGGGGCTCCAGCACAATCACCATTTTTCAGCGATTTACTGGTTAAGCCACTGTGGTTCCCTGGAATCCCGAGGGAAGCCTATCTAAAGTCTGCCTCAGATCTTAACCACCAAAGGCAGACGCAGCCCTTGTGGAGAGAGATTTGAGAGAAATTTGCCACCATGCGACTTTGATACCAGGACGGCAGTGAATCCTGGTATTGGTTCACTCTTAGCTAGGCTTCCTGATAGAAGCGCCGGACTGCTAAGCTTGGGAAGCCAAGAAAGACGAATCACCCAGCGGTATCTAAAGAAGGGCGCCTGTGACGCAGTGGTTGGAGGCGCCACTGCAACACACACGCAGAACTGATCCCCGCGCCCATGGCTCACCAAACCTTCCGTCCCCTCAGGGTCGGCAAATTGGTACCACACTTGTCTGGAAGGATTGCAACACTGGCTCGATACATCGGTAGGCCACCGCGAGTCATTGTGAATACCAGATATGCATTCAATCACCTCCAACGATATTAGGTGAAGTCGAACGCATGACGCATCTCACAGGAATTGGCCAACGCTGAGAGCTTTATCCTTTTTTATAGTAAAAAAATCCACAATTTGCGGGATATGTAGACCTGAAAAGAAAAGGGATGTGAAGTGCAGAGATCTCGGTTTAATGCTAAAGTTATGCGCACCTGTCGTAAACCTCTACAATGGTTGTCTCGCCTCTATCAGCTTACTCAGAACCGTGATAAATAGAGTTGAGTGCACATGGTTTTGTGACTCACGTTGGACCGAATACAACCGAGTGAAGTGGAACAGTGAAGAAAACATTTCATTACTACAATCCAAGGTGTGAAGGTCTGTCGGCTAGCGACTATCTTTTTAAGGGTTGCAGTGGACCCTAGCATCGGTTCGTTTCCTTGTCAAGATTAAGTGATCTTACTTAATGATGAACTCCTGTTTGTGTCATTCTTCAACGTTAGCTTCCAACAAAAACCTTTTTTTACCTTGAAAGTAGTTTACAGTATTTTTCTTTGGTTTTTTAAGTTAAACCAAATGTTGTTTTTACGACATCATCTGCTTTTTCGTATCTCAGTAAGTCGGGAAAGCAGATGTGTAGCAACAACTGATGACCGCATATACTAACCGAACTCCCACATGGAAGTTCATAGAAAACTTCGCTAAAGCCTTCAGTTCAGGGCCTACGATATTTTGTGATCCCTTGCGCTGTGATCAGTTACAAATCCTCTTAAGAATTGTTATTTCAGGCCCGAAAAACCTCGTCCGCTTCGATTTGGTCGGTGACAGCAGCTTCAGTTAATAAGTCATGCCCGACGACAGCACCAGTTAATAAATTGTGCTCAATTTTGAGTCTTTGTATTTTACATATTAAAGTAGAACAAGTTCATGGAAAGTTGACATGTTTTTAATCAGAGAAATTTCTTTGGTAGTGAAAAGCCGCAAAACCTTTATTTTGCTTAGGCAAGTTGAAGTTCTGTTAAATGACTACAGCGCATTAGTTGGATGTGCTTTGCAATAAAGAATAAAAGGATAGAGCTCTCGGCGTTGATCTTTCCCTGTGGGATGTGCCAAGCATGCAACTTCATAGAGCATCGTTGGAGGGGACTGAATGCATATCTGGCTTTTAAAATGACTCGCGGTGGTCTACCGATGTATCGAGCCAGTGCTGCTATCCTCCTAGACAAGTCTGGTACCAATTTGCTGACACCGGAGGCATGGAAGGCCTTGTGGGCCATAGGTGCGGGAATCGATCCCATATGTGTGTTGCAGAACCCCTCTCACCACTGCGTCACACGCGCTCTAAGAAAAGCGATATAGACTGAATTCAGGCTTCTTAGAAAACCTAGCAAAATGCTCATAGATCAAGATTCCAAGTGTGTGTTGCAGGGCATCTCCGACCACTACGCCACACACGCGCTTTGCAATGCATGCACAAATATTGGTTAGATCCCATGTTATGAGCACATGCAAACATTTCGTCTTGGCTTGATCTATGATAGATTGGTAAGTCCAGTAATATAAAGAGACAAAATGTGCATGCAATCACCTTTACTACACTTAGTGTAGAGCACATGATGAGCACCATGCGTTTTGTATTACGTTTACTGATTTTACCACCTTGAAGAGAAGATTGCCAAGGATAGGTTGCCGTGCTTCGCCTCAAGATCTGCGCTTGATTACGGCGTCTTATCTCCTACGCACCAGTTGTTTCATTGAAACCTTTTGACCGAATCAACAACCGGGACAGAATACGCATGCGCGAAAACGGGCCAGCTGCACCTACGTATGCATGGATGGTGAATTCGACTACTGCAGAAGGACAGTCTGTCCTCCATCTGCGAATAAACAAGTTCCATTTCTGTTCACATTTGACCTCTTCACTCCAGCTGAGAAGGGCCCCTCATGAACTTGCGACCAAGCGATTTTAGATCCGTCGTATGAGGGAGATGGGTGGATAAAACTTTAATTATTATGGAATTAGTCTGATGTCAGGATTCATATTTCATAGCCGAGTAGCTTTAAATGTTTTCGAAAGAAGGTTACTCCTGATAGCTTATAGCACGTTGCCAGAATTTACGTGTGCGGTCACGGTCATCCCGTTTCCTACGCACACAGTCATCTTCCTTCTTGTTTCATCAACGTTAATGAGACAAAGAGATAGTGCGATTACGCAACAATAATATCTAATGTAGGCAGAGCGATGACAATGCACGTCTATCTCGGTATGTCAACAAAATTCTTTCACAAGCTGCAGATGTTGCGCGTAAATCAACATTGACTTCTATGCATTGTCTCATTAAATAGTCCTTGAGCAACTTCCAGATAACTTTTTCTGATTTGAGAGAAACAACTTTAAAGGTTTTCTACCCATACATCGATTATAAAGGGAAGATCACAGAGGGATATTCATTCATGGATGTAGGAATCAGATGAGAGACGCGAACTTGCTAGATTCTAGATAGAGGCCGTTCTCCAAGCAAGATCTTCCGTTTTAACAAGGTCTACTAAAAGTTAGCCAGCTAAAGATTTGTTAGCTTATAACAGATCAATCATGAGAGGGAAACTGGAAGAATTGCTGATGAATTTTCGTCATAAACAAGGGATATTTAATGAACAAAGATGGAAATCTCGGTGTTCTACGAAAGAAGAACGAGATTTTGGAGCGATTCCAAGACATGGTGAGTTTTTCGAAAAAGGAGCGCTAACTACTTCAAACTAGTTCACTAGTTGTGATCAACTCCTAGGTGAACAAACAACATATGGAGCTGGGTCCCGTCCTCTTATTTTAAGCCAAGGAAAAAGGATGAAGGACAAAGCTCTCAGCGTTGATCAATCCCTGAGGGATGCGTCATGCTCTCGACTTCACCAAGCATTGTTGGAGGTGAGTGAATGCATATCTGGCCTACACAACGACTCGCGGTGACCTTCGGATGTATCGTGTTAATGCTGGTATCCTCTCAGACAGGTCTGGTACCAACAATAACTCGGAAGGGTGGAAGAATTGGTGAGTCTGGAAAACGGGATCGAATCCATGTGTATTGTAGGCACCTCTAATCATTGCGCTATACGCACCCTTTTAAGACAATACCACCAATGAATCTGCGAACAATTAAGTCTCAGAAGTTTCCTTATATCTGACTAAAAAAATTTTTTTCCATTTCCGCTTGTTCGCTTCTGGGGCACTGCAAATTGTGAGAATTCTAGAGAATTCTAAAATAAGGTTGATTTTGCAAACTTTTTCCTCGGGTATAATGTGACTCGTGTCAGAGTTCGTCAGATCGACGCTGCAGAAACCTTCCTAACCTCAAGTCGAAAATAGTGGAAGGGGAAATTCGTAAAAGGCGTGAAAGCAGCAGTGAAGAACAAAAAGCACAAAATTATACAAAGAGTTATACAACAAGGACTTCAGTATAGCTATAAGAAGCAGGATTGCGAATTCCTTACTGTAAAGAGATGGTGGTGTCTTTAGCGAAGTGTTTCTGATGCCATGAAACTTCGCTCTGGGGATGACATTCTCACTGATGATGCAGATATAAAGAATCTTCTCCTTTAATCTTCATGAGCCTTAATTCTATTTTGCCATGAACAAACATGCTATTTAAGATATGTTCAGGTAAAACAATAAAATGATTTGGAAAGTGAATGAAATTTCACCAGCTATTTAGTGAGCTGTTTGAATTTCTTCACCAGTATTGACGGTAAGAGAAAACTGGGCTTGGGCGGTATATCTTTCGAGAGATTTTCATTGTATTTCGATCAAGTGCGGTGATTCCATGGCTACATCTCCAGTCACATTATTTCAGTGTTTCGTCGGAAAACGTGAACAGATTTATGAGCACATTGCTGTAGTTTATTCCTCGTACGCTGTGCAAAATATAGGCAATGTATGAAAAGTAGAACACTTAGAAAATATTTTCAGTACGGTTTGTGAGCTTCATAACGTTGCAAGTCCGAATCGTAGCCAGAATTTCTCCAACCGCCGTCATGACCGCTATGTTCGTGGCCATAATTGCTGCCTTCATAGTGACCGCCATGTTTCGAACCGCGCACCGAGTCCTGCAATTGGAAAGCAGCTGAAGCAGTTGTCACAGAGACTACTGATATGAATAGCTAGATCGAGGTTGAACCTTGCTGTAGGAGCCGTGGTCTTTGTGATGTGAACTGCCTTCGTTGTAATAGCCCTTCTTATAACCTCCGCCCACAGAACCCGCCGAATATTTAGAGTTGAGTTTTGAGTCTTCGTATCCTTGAAATGATTTTTAAAGAAAAAGGCATTATAAAATAATTTATGAGCTTTCATAATACCTTCAGACCCATAGTACCCTTTTTTATATTCTCCATAAGGACCGGAACCTGCAGCAAAGTATGAAAACTTCCTCATACCGTCCGAATCTGATGAACGAAGTGAAAGAAATAAAGGAATTTCAAACTACAGGTGTAGATAAAGCTAGAAAAACCACCTAACCTGAATTAGTCTTTCCTCCCATTTCGTAGGATTCGCCTTTAGAACCACTTGCTTCATTTTTGTCGTAGTAGCTTCTTCCTGCTAAGTGCTTGCGGTCCCCTTAAACAAGCATTCACTTAAACCATTGACTTTTTGAACATCAAGAGCAACGTAAATATACGGTAATCAGATTGACGGTTCTTCTCCACCTAATGGATCATGAAGAATTCACTTGAAAGGTGTACCACTACAAAAACATTAAGACCAATCTGGAAAACCCTCACGCTTGGAGTGGGATGCGTATAGCGCCGTAGTTAGAGGGGCCGTTCATTACACACTGGATCGATCGCTGATTCGAGTTCCCGTCCCAAACTCACCAAGTTTTCTATTCTGGGGTTGGCAAATTGGTACCAGACTTGTCAGAGAGGATAGTATCACTGACTTGATACATTGGTAGGCCACCAAAAGTTACTATATGGAATAGATATGAATTCAATCATCCTTAATGATGCTTTACGAAATGGAAAGCGTGGCGTATCCCTCGAAAAATGATCAGCACCAAATATACATTAACCGATAATCGGCTTTATTAACAGTAGATCATTTCGGCTTTGTTCATCATCGATAAATTCATTTCACCCATACAGTCACAAGGTAGAGAAGGAACAGCTTTTACTTTGCATCCCGAAAAATCCTACCATATCCCGATACACTGTGTCCATCGTGTCCGTAGTGATGTCCATACTTATCTCCATAGTAGTCATGCTCATCATCACCACCTTTCTCCTCATAGCTGCCATAATGCAAATCCTAGAGAGAATACAGCCATATCACATCATTTTCATCATTTCCACTTGTTTTTTTCTTACTAGTCCCGAAATTTTTAGTAATGCCTCTACAAATCACTTACATATAGTCCATGTTTGTGATCATGGTCACCGTAGTGGCCACCATAGTCGTAATGACCGTAATATGGAGGAATGTAGCCGCTGGATGTGATAGCTGCCATCGCCGCGATAATCAAAAGCAGCAGTGTCATTGCTGTTACCTACGACACAGAATTTATGCCAATGGAACAGGTCTACAAAGAGAAGTCGCACAAGTTGTAAATGCTCATACTGCCACGAAGTTTCGCTTATATACATTTACTACTGATCGCCGTCCTTCCCAATGCGTGCTTTTTCGCCAGCTAATAGCTCAAAGATAACGAGTATTGGAGCGCGTTGTTCTATTATACGACAAGTCTTTTGAATAGTAGAATGGCTTTTTATCGCATGTCATCCTACCGTTCTGTAAACTTAATGTTGCACGACTCAGCTCTTCTCCTAGGGTTTAGTCTTCACCAGTTACTCTCGTATTCGTGGAGATTGCTTATGTTGATGGTTAGCTTCCATAGGCATTCCACTTCCCAATCTAGAAGCCCACGGTTCTGGAAGACTACTGGAATTCTAGAAGCACAATAATGAGCCATGTTTAATGCGTTTTCCACAGCCTAGTTCGACAGCATAGGTTTACCAGAGGCGAATGTAAGAAGTGACATGAATGAAGGGATGAGACAGGGAAACACAACGGCGTTTCGTTTCGTATATTACACCTGTAGTGGGACGTTCTCGAACAAAAAAGTCCTTGTATCAGATGTTTAATTTGCGCGAATTAAAATCAAAATGACAAAACCGATTGAGATAATGTACATTGCTTCATGGTTATACCACATTATCGACGATATAACTCCATCGCATATTGTCCGGTTGCTTCTTTCTTTCTGTTTGCAACAGCTTTTCCACGACATTCTTTGTAACAAATCGGCACTTTTCGCTCCAATGATGATGGTGACTGCTATGGTCCAGCAAGTAATAGTTCCATCAAAGAAATTTGCATTACTTCAGGAGAAATTTACACAATTTCAAGTTTTGAACTAATTGTCAAACGAAAATGGTCATACCAATCATGTGGACATCGAAAAATGTCTATTCTGTCCTTCCTCTTGAGTACCGTTGTGTCGCTCTCATTCTTCTGATCAAACTATTCTCTCTTCAATTGTCGCCAACTGATGTGTTTGGGAAGTCTTTTCCTGTACTTTCTGGATGTTCGGTTGGTGTGGGTTTTCATGCTGAGCAGTCTGTAAGCTTGACGAGACATGGTTTCCACTTCCTACTGTACGTGCCAATAAAATGACTCTTTTTATTGATAAAGTTCTCAGCTGAGTGGTTAGTGATTCCGTCGATCATGAATCAAAGGAACTAGTTCGAACCCTTACCCAACATTCTCCTCCAATCTAAGTCGAAACGCCTTAGCGCGACTATCTCCAAGACTGCAAGAGAATCAACTCGGTCAGCATATTACGCCATTCATAAAGATGCCGAAATCTTCAAACAACCGCCGAAACAAAATGCGAAATGTTGGAAAAACCATTGTGGACGATGAATAGGAGGAAAATGAATCGAATGCAAGAAGTGCTGAGATCCACGCAGTACCTGTGAAAACGGGTCATTATATATATATATATAAATATATATATAATGTACATATGTATATCTATATTATAAAGATAATATATATACGTATATCCATAGTATATATATATATATGTATATATATATATATATATATATATATACTACGTGGCGCATCCCCAGGTGGTGGATAGGAGGTTAATCGCTGCCCAAAAGCAACCTTTGCTTCCCAGAGACGCAAATGCATCCAGGGAATGCACCACATGCTTCTGCAGCGCTGATTTGGCAAACACTTTCTGTATTTTATAAGCGTTTTCATGCATGCGTGTGTGGTGGTCCGCTCTTGCTTATGCAGATTGTATTCTACGAGTAAATTCGGCCAAAAGCCTGTAATTAAGTGACTGTGAAGTACATGGGAGGCGGTTAGGAGTCGCCTCCAACAAATAAGCTTCATGTCCACTCTGGGAGAGCCTGACAAGCTACCCGTGAGTACACCCAGCCCCCACACGTTCAGAGCCCAGCAAGCTATACGTGAGTAACAAAAATGCTAAACACAGTTTAAAAAAAAAGCGGGCCTCATTCACCTAAGCCCGAAAGAGCCCCCAATTTCGCAGCGTTGGGTGGGACGAGTATGGAGAAGCTGCTAAAATCTCAGGACCAGTGCAAGCTGCCTGGATTTCAAAGAACTATGGTGACGATCTGTACCTACAATGCACGTAAACTTGCATCCGAGTCTTCGATAGAAAACTTGCTCATGCAAGCAAGAAGGATGAGGTACGACGTCATCGACCTGGCCGAGACGAGAAGAAGCCAGCCTTTCAACGCCGTCTATGACATTAGAGGAAAACTGTTTCTCGGAACATGCGACAGTGGAGGAGTTGGCGTTCTCGTCAACACGAGCTTACCCATGAACATCGATTCATTCGAACAACTTACAACCCGAATCGGACGTTTACGATTAAAACGATGTGGATCAATACCGGTTTTGACAATCTTCGTCGTTTACGCCCCGACATCAAACTATGACGAAGAAGAAGTCGAAGCGTCTATATGGACTTGGAGAAGTTCTACAGAGAAGACCACACATTCTTCAAGGTCATCCTCGAGATTTCAACGCCAAGATTGGACCAAGAAGAACGTCTGAAGAACGTCACAATGGAACCCACGGATTATAATGGAACGAACAGGGTGAGCGGCTGTCTGAGTTTATCATGGCGACCAAGACAATCCATGGTAACTCGCAATTCCAGAAGCCCCACCCTAAGCGCTGGACGTGGGAGTCTCCTAATGGAGAGTACCATAACGAAATAGATCACATCATAGCAAATAGAAGCTTTCGCCTAACCGATGTCGATTTTGTCCCAAAATGATACACAGGATTAGACCATCGTCTCCATCGTGCAAGATTCTATTTCACACGGAAAGGAGAAAAAGCAGCCAAATTAAAAAACCGAAGTCCCAGAACCACCGCAAACTGGGACTTATTCAATTCATTAGTCGGCTGTTGGGAAGACGCCGTTGTCGATAACACCGATGAAGAATACGGTCGACTCATTCAACATCTTCACGTTAGTGCTATGAAAGCTGAGAGTTGGAAAGTCACCAAGAGACGTTTGTTTCCAGAAAGACTCGAGCTGATAAGCCAGCGTGGAATCGCACGAGCTGGAGGCAACCGCGAACTAACGCCCGAACTTGCAAAACAATGCAGACAGGCGGTAAAAGAAGACCTTAGAGAGAGAAGAGCAACAGTAATGACCGAAGCTACAGAGGCTAGGAAAAGCATTCGCAAAGCCCACCGAAGCTTCGCCAATTACAAGACCAAAATGATTGCTCTCCGACAGCCAGACGGAACAGTTACAGCGTCCAGAAAGGCAATGGAAAAAATCAATCACGAATACTGCTCGGATCTCTTCGATAACCACGTCTACCTTCCGTCATATGAAATAAAAGATAATGGGTATGTTGCAGTGCCGGTTCTCCCTTCCGAAATCCGACATGTTATTTCTTCGGTGAAAAATCGAACAGCACCAGTTCCAGACAGGATAAGACCAGAACACCTGAAGAACCTTCCGCCAGTTCACTTGAACACATTGGCCTCGCTCTTCACACGTTACTTGTCCGAATGCTAGGTTCCTACTCAGTGGAAGACCAGCAAGACCGTGGTATCGTTTAAGAAGGGTGATCTACACGCCATCGGCAACTATCACCCAATCTGCTTATCGTCTGTCTACAAACTTTTCACTCGAGTCATCATAAACAGGATTGACAGAACACTAGACGAAGGACAGCCATGTGAGCAAGCAGGGTTTCGAAGAGGATTTAGTACGATGGACCATATCCACACGGTAGCAAGACTCATTGAAGTAACTCCCAAGTCCGACTTTCTGGTAACCTCGGCATTAATTGAATAACTCTTTCCACTTCTGTTCAGCGAACACGAGGTGTTACATTATTTCTTTATTTACGTACAAGCTGACACTTCGGCGGATTTCGCCTTCATCAGAGCTTGGAAAGGTCAAGTTAACCACAGTCTACACGGCCAAATACATGCACAACCAAACAGAGAAAATGCTGAACCAAAACTCCAATCACATTGAACACAGAGTCTTTGCACACTCACCGCTTTCTATGAGGTTTCCACTAAGTATGTCACGTAGAGACAAACCGCACAGAAATCACGTAGAAGTATAATGTGCCCCTCACATC